AAACGTGGCCCAACAAGACGGTGCATGACACCACTTGAAAGTGCCTTTAGAGTCCCCCCCATTATCTAACCAACTCCCTCAAGTTCAGCCCGCTAGGCAGACGTTACCTTGGCATGAGATCTGAGGAATCCACACACTTAAATTAATCACGGTGGCTTTCCAGAGCAGAGGAAGAAAAAGAGAGTTTATATCCAGCCCGTGCATCTAAATAAGCAGCGTTGTCCGATTAGATTTACAACTTTTTTTATTTTAATGTCTGAGACTAAAGGGATAAAGAACCAAGAGAATTCGGTAGAGCAGAAAATATCAATGTGGGCACTATCCTTCAGCATGAGATCATTTCATTATGTGAAACCCACATTAAGCCAGATAAATCAAATCCCTGAGTCCCTGAGGTGTGGTGCTGTGTTCACGTCCCTTTGTATACTTTCCATCAGATAAGCTGAACTTGCACAAGACGACTTTGCTCTTAAAAGGTTTGGGGTGATTAAGATGAACCGTTGGCTCCAGGTACCGGCAGATTCAAAGACCATTGGCCTTGAAAGACTTGATCTTTAGCTTTCTTTAGGATGTACTTCCAAGTGAACAATCAGCGTTCCAAAGCCGAAACTCCATCATAAAGTTCACCAACATAAACAAAAGCTGTCAGCTGAAGTTTACATTTCACCTCAACTAAATGTTTATGCCTTAACCACTATGTGAACAGGGCCAGTAGTTTTTTTCTTTTCATCCTTCTGCACTAAAAACGCTCAGATTGGCAGCATTGTTCCAATGTAGCCTCTATTTATCTTTACGAGTCAGTGGAAGAGAAATGTATTTACCAGTGAGAACTGTATGCAGTCTAAATAGTCCCATCAGGGCCATGTGAAACGGGATGTTTAAACTATTGGTGTCATATTCATGACCCGCACACTAGCCAACAACAACAGTCTCTCTGTGATTTCACGGACAACAAGAACACAACACACAAAGGAACAAGTATTTGTCAGTTTGTTGTACTTGGGACAGACTGCGCGACAGTGTATGTCTGCATTAATAACTGGAAAATTGTGACGGGAATCATGTGTTGAGATAAGAAACTATCAAATAAATACAAGACGAGAAGCGGAAAATTAGGGCTTGAATACAAAAGGCTCTTCAGGGACAGGCAGGATGTGGGGAGGGAGGTAGAGGATGGCAAAAGAGATGGCACAAAGGCAAAAAGCATGCAAAACCAGTAGTTACTTAAAAAGCACAAACACACCCAAGTCAATTACTACCCATACAAATGGCTCACCACAGCGCGCAGGCACACAACTACAACTTAGTCGCCAACTGTTTGTTACGTCAGCTGAGGATGAGTTTGGAGACAGGGACGGAGACCAAAGGAGGGGGGGGAGAGAGAAAATGGTTTACTGGAACCTCTTTAGCGAGAGGAATAAATACTTTACTGGAATTCAGTGGACAGTTGTTCCACTGAGAGACGCCATGTTTCACCAAGACACCAAAAGTGCACTCGGCATTCCAAATATATCACAATGTGTCTCCTTTTTCTATCCGGCCTTGTGGAAACCGTGATGCAGGATTAAGCCTTATTTGTTGAGGCTTTAGAGCGGCTGATGAGGCCGATTTAAAACACAATCCCGAGGACCAGCCAGGGCAGCCTGTGCTCCTTTGTAGAGGTGACACACGGTATGCAGCTCTATTGTGCCAGGGAGGATTATGGGTAAGGAAACGGGTGATAGGCAAAGGAGGAAAACTGTGCCAGTGTCAACAGTGAGTCACAAGTGGAAACCCGCAGCGCTGCCGTTGATTTTAAAAGCTGACCGCTTAATTGCAGAAAGAAGTTAAGACTTGTTTCCAGAATTAAAAAAAGAATGTTTTTTCCTCGCTTAGTTGACTAAACGCACGCCATCCTGATCTAAAGCAGGTGGAGAATTAATTCAATTATCCACACACTGAGGGCTACTGCTACTATGTTATTTGTTTGTTATTTACTGAATGTATATTTTTGGGTAAAAACAATGTTGTCATAGGAATTGACTTATTATTTAGTCAACAACTTTTATAAAAGTTGAACTTTCTTGTGCTTGTACTTCTGTTGTATAATGCCTTGTGCTCCAACTGTAGCACATTTAAGTACATTTTGTGCTAAAGTAGTTACTATTCAGCTTTTTTCATGCAAAATACATTTATTTATAAATATGATGAATTGGTTTGGATTAAATTACTAGTATGAACCTACAACAAAAATGCTGCATATATATTATTCATTAATACATCCAGTAACCTACACAATTATAATGCATAGTAGTACTTTTGGTATTTGAAGTATAATTATTGATAAAACTTCTGAGCTATCATTCAAGCTTCACTGATCATTGCTTTTTTCTTTTTTTTTTTACTTAAATGTTTTGAGTACTTCTTTCAGCATAGAAAGATCGTTTTTAAGGTTATTAAGTTGTATTACTGTGCCCCATCACTCGGAGTAAGAGCGGATGGGGAAAAGGAAAGCAAATACACAAAAAAAAGAGTTTCACAGTAATTCATTTGAGAGAACACAAAGGCCTTGTGGCAATAGTCGCAGCTTTCACTTTGCTATTTCTGATTCGTTTAGAAATTGAAGCTTGTGTATTTTTAGAGCCAAAATAAATAAATCTCCTTTATAGAAGTCAGTAATGTTTTCATGAAATGCAAAAGACTACTGCTGACATTAACAACCAGTTAAGCTCTGAACACTGTGGTAGGTTTTCGGAAGTGATGCGTTTTTCTTTGTTTAGAGTCTGTTTGTCCCAAAGACGGACTCTAGTTACAACATGAGCAATGACGGCCACCGAGAGCAGAAACCTCAATTGGACTTAAAGGGAAAAAAAGATCCTGAAAATGCAATTTGATGGATGAGTGATCCCCCAGCCAAAAGCACCACAGCGCTGATGAGGAGACAGAGACAAAAACCAGATAAAGTCACAGATTGCTACAGTTTTATTGCTACTCGGGGGCCCGAGGAGCAATAAAACTGAGTGAACACATCACCGAACATGGAAACTTTCAACCTTAGTAAGAAAAACCACCACAATTGGAGTTTTGTGGTTTGTCCCTGGACAGCGACGCAATACAGGAAAGAAGTCGGGAGAATGATTAACTGCGTGTCTGTATGAGATTCCACTTTAAGCCTTTGGAACCATTCATCTTGGCCCCGCACCACAGCCCTGTGATTCATGTCCACCTTCGTCTGCAACTACCCTCATGCGTCGCTGACCTCTCATTTGACTTCATCTTGGTAGTTTTTGGGGGGTTTTTCTTTGTTTAGTCATTTTTATGTGAGGCCTTGACCCGGAGCTGCTCTTCCCCCCTTGGGAATTCCACAGGTCTGGTGTAATGTTGGGAGGCTCCTCCTCAGCAAACTAACCAGGAATGTACCAACCAAGAGGGAGAGGAGGTGGAGGTGGAGATGGAGGTTGGCTCCTCCGGCCTCACGGGGGAAACACAGCGCTTCATTGTTCTCCTACCTTTGCATTCCATTCCTCACCTCTCTCTGTTTTAAAATCACACCCCTCCGCTAAACTCAACCTCTGTGTCGCTTTTGTATGACTTTTCATTCACTCCTTCCTGTCTCTCCTCCTCCGCCTCCTCCCTAATCATCTTACCTGGCACTTTCCCGCAGCTAAAACAGTGCCCTGACAGAAAACTTCATCACTTTTATCGGTCTGTTGCTATTGGGTGGGAAAATAAGTGGTTAAGTGAATCTATTATAAACACGCTGCATGGGGATTTACAATTCCAGTCTGAGGTGTGTGTTCCAGAGTGGGATTAAGGTGTGTGTTTTGAGGCATGTGTGGAGGAGGATAGGAGTCTTTAGGTGTTCTGTCATGGAGCAGATCTCAACAGGCCCTTGCATGCCAGCCTGTGTTGTATGTGCACTGCCCCGCTGGAGTCACACAATACACCACCAAAGCTGAGGCTCAGTAAACTCATGAAAACAGAGGAGGGAAGAGGGGGAGATGGATGCTCACTTAGAGGAGGGCCTCTCCGTTTTCTGTGATGCTTGAGATGAACAAAGTCAGTGAGGCTCAGAAGCTTCATCCTTCCTCCGCCTTAACCCCACCAACCCCATCCCACTTACCCGACCAGCCTTGAAGATGCTAATCCATCACAGTACAGTAGCCTTCCGGTGTCTTTGATCACTTTCTGTCACCCCGACAGCCCTTCCCACAACAATCAAAGCCTTCTTAGCAGGACCTTTAAACACAACACAGCCAAAGCTACAAAGTCAAAGGGTTGAGTTATGGTTGGACTACGTATCACACCCATATCAAGATAAGAGAACCCATGATAATGAGAGATCCGGAAATAACCTAACGCAATCAGCTGTAAAGTGTGCACCAGAAGGAGTGTTTCAGCATGACTTCAACATTCTTTAAACGTGTGGTAACAAAGACTCAAATAAAACCCTTTTCATATAATTTGTACATAATGTTTTGTGCTAGAAAATAAGAAATATCTTTCACAACCGAATACTTAATTGGGCTTTTAAAACCTTTAGGTGTTACCCAGATTGAAAGCTTTTCTCATTGCCCAATTTTAACCTTGATTACACAAGTGGTTTATCATTTTAAAGCAGAAGCACAATATCTTGCGTGTACAAACATTTCCACAAATATGCAAATCCTATAGAATCATAGCTGAAACTCAAAAGCACATGCTAATTTTATTGGTATCGGTTCAAGGTCAGGGATGATGCCGAGACATGTACCAGTAGGTCTTAGCATTCCTTCCATTGCTGAGAAGCTGTGTTAGCCAAGGGGAGAATTCCTCTGAACAATGATAATAACACCTATGATAAATTCTGCATTCTGGCAGTCAGCCTTGTTTTACAACCAGTAGCAATTAAAGCAAAAAAAGGTATGGTGTGTATTGCGGAATGGCCGTTATAGAATCACACTTAAACAACTAAACCTGCTGAACTGCCTGGGGGTAGGAAGACCTTTACACATACAAACGATTCGACTGCACGCACTTACCCTGACACGCATCTTTGACTTCTTCGTAGCCTGGTTTGCACTGGCACTGTCCGACTGGTACCACCCACTCCCCATCCACAGTGCAGTAGATACGAGGCAAATCCTCGCTGACGGCGTTATCCACGCACACGCCGCTCACTTCCCTCAGCGCCTGGTTCTCCCCTCCGGCCACGGTTTCCGGGAAAGACGCGAGGCTCTTCACTGTGGCCGGGCAAGTTTTGTAGTACACCCTGGTTGAGAGAAGGGCCACGCAGGCTCCGATGTCTTGAAAAGCCAAGTAGAAGCCTTTTCTCGACAGGTTCTCCACTACTCGCGTCTCAGTGTTGATGCGCAGGTCATTTTTGCTGGTGATCTCATCAGGCGCTATGGTGGCAACTTTCTTAAACTGGCCCTTGTGGAAGGTGGTCCCCACGTCCGCGTCCGACTCGGATGTGAAGAGGTTGAAGGTTTCCTTGCAGGTCAGCGAGGTGGCATCGAAAGAGTTGCAGTCGCGTACGATGAATTGAAGTTCAACGAAAACCCGCGAAGCCGATGGATGCCTCTGGATGAAGGTGGTGCGCAGCCAGTTGTCCTGCTCACGTTCCGCAACATTGCAGACGGAGTAGGTGTAGAACTGAGAGCCGTTCAGGGTCCTCTGGGTGACCTCCCACTGAAACAAAACCACACAAACCAACAGGGTTAAAGTTACGAACCCAGACCCCTGGGAGCTCCTAAGTATACCGGGCAGAACCAAGGCTATAAGGGAAGCAAAAATAAAACAGCACCATGGCACTGTAATCTAATCCTGGGAACAAAAACAGACCATGTGTAGGGGAACCCACGGCTATACATGTTGCTAATTACTCCCCCCGAATATTTCAGCTATCCTTCACAGCCAAAACACATTTTGTCAACATGATAACTCAACTTTATGGGCTTTTACAGCAAAACAATACAGAAAACCTCAAGGGCTTAATGTGAGAAAGCATTTCTGGCATTGCAAAGATACCAAATGATTTCCAATTCAGAGCTTCACATGCCTTACCCTTACTAAATAGCGTTGCAGTTCACATACAAGATGCTGCCACAAATATTTAAAATAAAAAGTGACAGCATGTTTTAGCATAACCTTGGCTCTTGAGGAACAACTGGCCCCCAGAACCTGTGGTTTGCTCTCTGCATGTAGCCATCAGGCTATTAATTAAAGGAATGTGCTTTGTTGGCCGAGTGTGTGGCTTTGTGTAAAACGTGATGTTCAACAGCAGAGCCACCACCTCTATTAAACAGCTGGTGAACTCCTTTTTTACAAGGGCTCTTAAAAACTTGAAATAATAATTATGATAAGTGATGTGAAGTTACATGAGAATACTCTGCACAATCCAAACATTTTTCCAACGAGAAAATACAACACCTGATGTCTATTAGCGCAGACAGTGAAACTAAAATGTCAAAGTGATTATTTAAAGAAGTGAAACCCTTTTTAGAAGTTGGGTGAGCTACTGTGAGCAGCACGTCTGCACATGCCTTTGAGTCATCAGCACTTTAAATGAGGCTATTTACAGTGAATTTGCATGAGCCTGACTGGTCAATTACTTTGAAACCGCAATATGGACGAAGGCACACAAGCCTCCTGTATTCTGGCAGGGAGATAACCACAGAATTTGGGTGCAATAATGTAGCCATTATCCAGACGCATCTCTAAACGTAGACATTATAGCCTGGTTTGAGGAAAAGGTAGCTCTGACTGATGGCTCCAGCTACCCTCCCCCTCCAAAAAGAGGTACCACATGCTGCAAACTTTAAAAGTTAATTGCTCTCTAACATACAATTCTGGAGCTGAAGCCTTGAAACCGCAAGAAGCCACAAGTATTCCCAGTTCAGAGCTAGCAGCTATTCTGTCTGCCTGAGCTCTGGTGTAGCCCAGACATGCAGCGCTCTGCAGCAGCTCCTCATAGGATCCTACAATACGTCTCATATCCATACTCCAGCAACCATTAGGCTCTAACTGCCTGATGTTATAGCAACCTGACATGTACACACATGAGGCTAACCACACAAGTCAAATGGTCAAAAAAAGAATAATTTCCCCGGAGGCTCTCAGTGCAGCCGGGGCCCTTCCTGTGCATTTTCTCCCATGCATATATCCTAAGGCAAATTCCAAGTGGGAACGTGGGAGCTGGAGGAAAAGACGGAGCGGTACTCACCCCGGGCTTGTCTCCCTGATCTAAGGGCCATGTCAACCAGCCCAGTTCACCTCCTGTTGCCCTCATATCCAGAAGCACCTCTGTGGAGATATAAGAACACTGTCAGTATGGGAATAAACGTTTAAACTCTTCAGAAAATACTCATTTTGACTCTGCTGATAAAAATAATCTGCTTTTCTTTAAAAGAAAAACATTACAAATGACAGTTGTTTTAAAACTCTGCACTATAACCCCAACCCTGACAGGATTGAAATATATCTAATTTAACAAAGCTAACTTTTTAAAAAGATTTTTATTAAAGTTTGTGCAAAACTGTGGCATTTTCAAGAAGTAGAATCAACTTTCATTTATTTGACTTTCTGAACGTCCAAATAAAATATATCAAATTAACATAAATACACTTTTTGAAAATGTAATAAAATAAAAAAAAGATAACAATATGGTTTACAGTTTTTAAGAATGTATTGCAGTTTCTCTCCGGAATTCACCTGCTTGTGTTACAAAGTTTAGAGCAGCGCACATGCAGTAGGCTACGTTTAACCAAGGATTAGTGATTAAATATGAAAATTCAACAGGAAACATTTTTCTATTATTATAAGGTGTTTAAAAAATACTACTTAGAGAGACTACACGACTGTCACAAGATTAAGAAATTGTGTTTCCTGGTTTTAAAGTCCCTTTAAGGAGGTTCCCCGCATGGCACGCGTCGCTCCCTTCAATTTAACTTAATCAACTTTTGGCAAACAATTTAAAGAAGAAACTCACCTTCTTTAGTCTGTAGAGTGATAAGTATGCCATTAATGAGTACATATGAAAATAATAAAGGTCTTAATCCGGCAGAGAAATCCATTTGGCAAACTTTTCCTTCCTCTCTGCTCGTGGGCTTGGCTGGGACTCCGAGAGGTGCGCGAGCGCTACTCTCTGCAGCTCATTCACAAACGGGCCAGCAACACGTCACAGACTCCGCCCCCCGCTGGAATGTATTTGTGTGTGTGTGTGTGTGTGTGTGTGTGTGTGTGTGTGTGTGTGTGTGTGTGTGTGTGTGTGTGTGTGTTGAGGGGCGGGGGTGGAGGAGGACATAGCTGCGCATGAGAAACTTTTGCAACTTTCAGGGACCGTCGGAAATGTTGTTATTTTACATGGGAACGCGAAAATGGGAAATGTGTAAATTGGAATTCCAGGTACAGCGATGATCAACTATATAACAGGCCAATATGTCCTTTGTCGATTTTAATTAATCTGACCCCCCCCCCCCCCCCCCCCCCCCAAAGTTAAAATGTTGTCACTTACTGTATGTTTTGCCATGGCTGTGTATATCAGATGTTGTACACATGTGCTTTCCTCTTTATTGACTATGTTAACCGACTTATTTGATTCATACCCTCGTCTGAACATTTTCTTTTGTGACACTGTACATTGTCCCACTGTGGAACAAAGGATTTCTGATTCTAATACTGATTCAAATGGAACTGGATAGCACTTGGCTTGCAGCTCAACTCGTGTCAAAGCTCATGTCTCTTTCCAGAAATCATGACCCAGTTACTAAGATTTCTCTCAGGCCTTATTGTGGGAACGAATTAGCTATAAACATAAAGTTTATTGAATATTACTGGATTCGGCAACAGAAAATCTGTGAATGTATTATGCACAAATGTTAAAAACCCCAAGAGAACTTACAGAACAATCGAAAGAAGATCACCTCATTGTTCTAATCATTAATTGTTTGAGTAATTCATAAAGCAAGCAATTACACCTGAACTGTTGAAACAACATCCATAATATTCATCTGGCTGCTACTTAGAAATTATTTATCTATTTATCTAACATATCATATTCCAATAACTTGCATAGACTCTTATTGCACTATTTCACTTTTTTAAAACTATTTTTCTTTCTGTAATTACTATTTACTATTTAATTGCACTATATGTTTCTGTTTATCTGTTTTATTGTGTTGCACTGTTGGAGGAGCCTGTGATCTAAGATGTTCATCGTCATAACTACACTGTAGCTATGTCGTATACAAATAAAAAACCTTGGAACCTTGAACCTTGTCTTTTAATAGTTCAAGTTTCTCAAATGTGAGGAGTTCTTTTGATATCATAGTTACTGACCAGTAGCAATTTGAAGATGCTTTGGAAAGCGGTGGTGTGATGACACTTTCATCAACTTTTACATTTTATAGAATACACTTTTTATTGTTTAGTCCAAATAAGTATAGTACTGATTAATTGATAATAAATTAACCATGTAATGCATACTAAATCTGCACAATTTACTTTCTATGTAACTTTCCAGTACCACTCTCCTTGAATCCAATAGAAGTAGAGTTTACAGGGGGCACTTGAAGGCACCTCTGGTTACAGTTTAGCCTACCTGGCTGTAAAGCAGCCTGCAGGGCAACACAATCATTTGCATGGAGATATTGATTTAGAATTGTTTGCCACATTGAATAGGAGAGAGAAGGAGCGGGAGCTGCTTTACTTGACGTCCCTTTGTTGTGAGCATCCCCACACACAGAGGTAAAGTCATTGTGACAGGCGGAGAGAGATGTATTCATATACACATAATAGCAACTCTGAATACCAGAATTCAAGAGTACAGCTGGCCTACTGATAGGCCGTCATAAATTATGGAAAATATCCCAAAAATGTTGCACCCCGCAAACCCTGCAGATAGACAGTGGTGAATTTATTAACAAAACAAAGTTTAATCTGGTTTTTCATTCCAAGGAGGGTGTGTGGGAGTGGGAGTGGGGGAGTCTAGTATGAATATGAGGAATTAAGAAAAGTCCTTCACCTAGCAACTGGTGCAGAGAGGAATTTACTGTCAGGCTTTATCTGACTATACTTTCAGTGTTTGTTGCCCGATGTTACTATGGCAAAATGTTGAGCAATGGCTATGGAAACGATAAGTAGATGCTGTGCTTTATATCCCCCCCCTTCTCATGCTGTATATATCAGGGAGCCAGAGGGTTGTACCTGAAGAGTTTTATTCCCAGTGGTGTTTACCTTTGAGCACCAGCCCTGTCTCCACAATAGATAATTACAATACAGTGTGTCATTGATTGGACACGGGTCTGTCTCTCAAACACACACACACAGTGTTGTTCACACACCTGTGATGCTGACACTGCGGGAAAGGAGGTGCTGGCCAGGGCTGTGTCCCAGACCCCTGCGACCTCCCCTTCACCCCCCCCCCCCCCCCCCCCTCCCAATGCCTTCTGGGACTCCAGTTACACAAAAGCCACAGAAGAACGCCATGCACAGCTTTCTGTGAGCTTTTGAATCCCTAAAACCCACTCATTCACCCGCCCACTGTCGCCTCTGCAGCCGGCGTCCTCACATTCCCTTCATCCTCTCATCCTCAGTTATTGGGAAGGGGGATGTCTGCTACTCTGTTATTGTCTCAGGTAATGATGGGAGGAGTCGGGCAGAGCAGTGGAACGAAGAAACCTTTGAAATCGTCCCCTTTTTCCGTTTTGATATGAAACCATAAGACGTGCCTGAGGGGCCACATGTGCATTATCCCTGCTCGTAAGCCTGTTGAATATGCATTGTTCTTTGTAGTGCAGCACTAAAAGCTAATGCAGGATGTAAACTGAGAACTAAAGTGGATTGGGGTGTGTGGTTGAGCGGGTGGTGGCGGTGTTGAGGCCGGGGTTATGTGTGTGTTAGGGAAAGGGGGGGTGGTGGTGGGAGGCCTGCCAAGCACAGGTGTAAGACATACAGCAGCAGTGGTGGGTCGGCCAACAGCAGGGCCATTGTCCCCCTCAACACACACACACAACTTAACACACTGCAATTGTGGCCCCAGCATATGTGAGAACAGGATATTGGCTCATCTGTTAGTCTGATTAGCTATTTTGCCTGACGCTCCCATCTCCTGCAAATAACCCCCCCCCCTTCCTCCTCCTCCTCCTCCTCCTCCTCCTCCTCAAACCAAGAAAACAACACCTGATCCTGTTGATCCAGCTCTGTTCAAGATCTGCATGAGAAAGTAGTTCCATGTGCCTTGTCAGATTCACTGCTACCTGATAAGGGCGATGGTGTTGGTGGGGGGGGGGGATTAAGAGGCAGGTTCATGGTTGTGCGGATGAATTGCAAATTACCTGTGGCAGCCACGTTAAGCATGAACTCTTAGCAGAAAAGATAAAGATCACTGCAAATGTTAATTTACCTTGTACAACCCTGATCCCTAACAGCCTGAAACCACACAGTGCTAATACTTTTACATCAATCACATGGCAGTTGGATTTCCCCCGAATCAACATACAAGGGAGACGTTTATAAATTGTATATATATTATGCATACAAATGTATATATGTGGTAATGAGCGAATGTTGGTGGTATTGTGGCCCCGGTTTGTTGAGGTGGGAGGGTGGGAAGCTGGAGGGCATGTGTGACCTACGTGTTGAGTTGTAATGTAAACCAACCATGTGTGGCTGCAGTGTGGTCATTTGTATTTCAAACAGCTAAAGAGGCCGTTGTTGAAGGGAAACATTCAGTGACAGCTGATACAGAGATTAATCTCCCGTAAACTTCCGAAGTTGAGCCTGTCATGCCTTTCATGTTTTTTTTTGTTTGGTTAATCTCAGAGCTGTATATGATTTGTCCAAACATTTTTATCACGATTGCTGTTAAACCACCAACTCACCAAAGAGAAATTAAATTGCTACTCCAGTGACCTAGTATTTCCATAAAGTCGGTAGACTGGCGCTTTTCCACTGCAGGACCTAGCACGGCTTAGTACGGTATGGTTAGGCCTTGGTAGGCCAGGCTCACTTTAAGCTGCGTTTCCATTACAGTTTAGTACCTGGAGTAGTAACTATAGTAACGCAGTGTAGGCGGGGCGATCGACTGTTCGGCGGGCGGAGCGACGTTGCGTAAACTGCCGTGACGTCATCTTCAATGCAAACCAGAAAACCAAAACATCAGCCGTTAGCTGTTAGCACTCAGAGCTCACAGCTCCTCATATCTGTTCAGAAACTAGACAAAAGTTAAACAAGTACAAACCACAGACTGTCTGTGTCATGGTGAATACAGTCACTGGTTTATTTATGTCTGTATGCCGTTGTTGTGAGTGTGGACGGAGCAACTACAACGTTAGCTTAGCCTGATCGATCCGATCTCCATTCAGAAAACAAGCATTTTAAAAGGTTTTTCGCCTGCCGTCTTGTCTGCAGACCGGTATCAGTATGTTGTTACTTCGGCATCATTTTGAAACGTGTATTACAATTAAATCACGGTCAAATATGTTCATTTTGTTGTAGTTGTAGCCCCCTTGCCAGCGATTCTCTCTGACCATTCAGCAGTCGAGAGTGTTTACGTCACTAGTTTAGCATATTCAGCCCGGTTGTTGGCCCGGTAAGAACCTCGATTTTGGAGGGCCAGAAAAAAGGTGAAAAAGTAGCCCTGAGCCGGAACTACCCCTAGTGGAAAAGCAAAAAAAAGCAGGCCTGGTTCAAGATCTGCTTAAACAAATCAAAGCAGAACATGCAGCAATTTCCCTACTTAAAGTCCTAGTAGTATAGAGCGAGTTCCAAAAAAGATAGGTCCTACTTTCCCATAATACATCAATAGCATTTTTCTTGTTATACCGAGTTCATGTCAAATTATGCAAATGAAAATAACCTGTAAATAAACTTCCTGTTACATATCTATTGTTGGTGAAAATAACTAAAGAATATGTGAAAAATCTAGGCAAAATGTATGTTTCAATGATTGATGTTGTATTGATTGATGGATACATTTTCTAAGAGTCATATTGACTAAGCAACTCTACTTTTACCCTGAAGAGTTTTAAAGTATAAGAATAGAAAATGTGTAAGCAAAATATGAATGAAATGCTGACATGTCACCAGTTTGAATCTTAAGGCGTATGCTACTAAGAATGAAATCAAAGATTTTGGACCT